AGACTGGGGGATATTAATGAATGTCCACTAAACAGATCCTGGAACCAGATGGGCTCACAGCTGAATTTTATTTACCCATTAGAAGAAAAATGATCCTATCATTTGTTAAACTACTTTCATTACCAAAAATTGTGGAAACTCAATAGTTCTTTTCATCAGTTTAAGTTTGAGATAAAATGTTTAAAATGGTTATATGTATAAAAAGATTACAAACCATTGTCTGCATTAAGTATAGGTAAAAAATAAGTATCAGCAGATTAAATCTGTTGATAAATCAAAACACTGATATCCTACTTCTAAATTGTTCACAACACAACACAAATTGCCATTGTCATGTGAAAAGAAATCAAACACAAAAAGCCTTAAATAAATACAGTGACAACATGAGGAAGCTTGTACCAGGCAGAGTTCTCTAGAGAACTGACAGAATGAATTAGTATGTGTGTGGGATTTATTAGAGTGGCTTGCAGTCTGTGGTCCAGCTAGTCCAACAATGGCTGTCTACCCATGGAAAGTCCAAGAATCCAGTAGTTGTTCAGTCCATGAGGATGGATGTCTCAGCTGTCTTCAGTATGGGCTGGAATCCTGAAGAAGTGGGCTCTAATACCAGAGAAGGAATGGACTTACTACCAAGAGCAAACAAAGAGCAAACTCTCCTTTCTTCGTTGTCCTTTCTGTCAGCTGCCAAGGGAGGTGTATCTTCTGACCTCAAATGACAATTAGCAGAAAATCCTTCACAGGTGTGGCCAGCAACTTGGGGTTTTAGTTAATTCTAGATGCAGTGAAGTTGACACCAAAAAAAGCCATCAATCACAGCCTGTTCTCCCAAGTATTTGGCATTCTCTTTCTATGACTGAAGTTGATGTGATTTCTCCTCCTTCTCTGCCCTTCAACTCATCCCAAGAAAAAGCACAAAGTAGGACTAACAGATCTGCTTGTGGATAGTATGACAAAGTAAACACACACACACACACACACACACAAACACACACACACAACTTTTTTGGTGTTGTCTTATGTATTATAAGACCACAAATGCAGATTGGATTCATATCTCTACAAGTCAGACAGCCATATGACAGCTGAGTGAGAGTGGACAGCTTTTCCCTAGGAACTCCAGGAAGATGTGGACATGTCAGCCCCTGGGCTGGGGATTTCCGAACTCCAGGACTGGTAGAGATTCATGTTGGTATAAGCTACCCGGTACTCTGTGACGTTGTTTCCCAGGTAAGTGACATTCCCTACACATTGGTCTTCTGTTTCATTGTTTTGTCCTTGAATATTCTGCCCCATTCTGAAATATGACATCACATCACATCTTGGCTTAAAAATGACCAGTGAGACTCTGTTTCTCCAAGTTATCACTGAACTTATTTTTCCTGCTTTCAAGACCCCAGACAACTGTGTAATTATTTGTAATGCTGTCCCCTTTCCAATGAGGTTGAGATTTTTATTACTGCCCAGACACTCCTTTTCTCCTTCACTTTTGTTTTTATCCCTTTGAGCAGACTCTTGACTATTTCTATCTCAACCTCACATTTTAAGGTCAAAATTAAAATTAAAACCAAGTTCTTCATTAGTTAAACCAATGCTTCTTATCTCTGTCCTCCAAATTTATAGAAAAGTTGTCGGCTACGTTACATAATTTGCCTTCTCATTCTAGGTTATAGTTCTTTATCTGTGTGTATCTTGGTGATTATTCTCTGAGGTGAACAGCATTTACACTTCTGAGACTCCCTCAGGTCTATCACAGTGATAAGATACGCAAACATTTCTAATTACTTGGTCTCCGCCACAGGAATACTAAATATTGTACCTACCACATGCATAATAGATATTTAATTTAAGCAGACAGGTACAAATCATGGCCAATCATGGTTCTGTAAGAATTACTCCTTTGGGGTGGCTTTGATCTAATTATTTCCATAGTTTATGACAACTAGGAGGGAAAGAAACTTCATCTAGTTGAAAGAGTAGATAGTACATGAGGAGCAGACCTGACCCACAGGGTTAAAGCTTCTTCTGTGGTTCTGGACTCAAAAGTCCTTTACCATTCAGGGACTCAATGGATCAATGGAATTTCTCTCCACATTCATAAAACTCTCAACTTTGTAGGCGATACGGCTACTTCAATACCTGGCCCCAGTATCCCCACTTTTGATGTTGATCACTCATTGTGCTGGCTAGTTTTATGTCAACTTGACTCAAGTTAGAGTTGTTGGAGAAAAGAGAAGAGAACCTCAATTGAGGAGAAGCCTCTATAAGATCCGGCTGTAGGGGAATTTTCTTAATTAGTGACTGATGGTGGAAGGCTTAGCCCATTGTGGGTGGTACCATCCCTGGGCTGGTGATCCTGGTTCTGTAAGAAAGCAGGCTGAAGAGACCCCGAGGAGCAAGCCAGGGAGCAGTACTCCCACTATGGCCTCTGCACCAGCTCCTGCCTGCAGGTGCCTGCCCTGTGTGAGCCCCTGTCCTGACTGCCTTCAATGATGGACTACAATGCATAAGTATGAGCCAAATAAACCCTTTCCTCTCCAAGTTGCTTTGGTCATGGTATTTCATTGCAGCAACAGAAACCCTAATTAGGACATTCATTTTCTTAAAAGACAATATGCAATGGAGCATCCTTTAACAAAGGCCTTCCTTCCTTTCCCTGGACCCAAGCCCTAACGCTACTTGCAAATAACAGGGGAATTAGGAGAAACAGCTAATCTCCTCCAGGCTCAAACCTTCTTCAATTCATCTCCTAATGAAGGTAAATTCTCAAAGAAAACTGAGAGGAACCGATTTCTATAAACCAAGTTCCTTTCCCATAGAATGATTAACAACAGCCTGGCACCTAGAGATTCCTCTCAGGTCTCCCTATTGACAGTTGAATTAGCAAGAGGCTCAGCTGACCCTGGAATTCTGTCCTGATCAGGGGTCCGCCCTGATTTAACTCTGTTTCCCTTCGCTTCCTCTGCCCTGTCCACTCCCCTTGTCCTCAGAGAAGCCCTCAGTCACATAAGCTCCCTGCAAGGTACACTTCTTCTCGAGTCTTCTTGTCTCTCTCTCTATTCCATGCAGGCTTCTTCTCAGCTGTCACACACCCCTGTGTGTTGAAACGCTTGACTAGAGAGGGGCTGGCATATGTGATGTTGGGAAGCAGTAGCATTGGTCATGGGTACAGTGAGGGGGTCGTTTGGGGCAAGAGACTGCATTATGGCTGCCAGGGAGCAAAGGCAGAGCTAGAAAAGGCTGTTCTGAATAACCTCAGAGAAACAGTAATCTGTACCCGAACTTGGGATGAATGAGCAAGGAATATATTGGCCTCACGCAGGGGAGTTGATGGAGGTGAGGAGAATTCTGGAAAAGCACACCTCAGGACAATTAGTTGCAGTCTTCAGGATTTGGATAATCCTAGAGGATACTGCCCCTCCAGGCTCAAAGCATGAGAATATGGAAACTGAAAGATTGCTGTAAGTGGCAGAGGCATTCACCCTGACTGACCTCCACCTGTGTCCTTCATGCCTGCATCCACAGTCATCGCACCTCAGAGAAAGCACCTGTGTTGTCCCCACTAGAATGTACCTCCATCAAAACTTCCGCTCCCCTGAGGTCCCAACTACATCTCCCATAGAAGAAGAGAGCTGAGACGCCCACCAATGCCTCTTCAGCCAATGGCTGATTGCATACATGTGTGTAAATAGCTTGGACTGTCATTTTCAGTATTATCACTAAATGTGGATTGCTTACCACCCAAAGTTATATTATTTAAGGTGATATACTCTCCAAGAAGGTGCTAATGATTAAAAGTACATCTAGTAATGACAGATATTGGTATTGAAATATACGGAAAGAATTTTAAATATTTTTCAGGAGGTGTAAGAATGTAAAACTAGTATTTCTAAATTAAATACTGATATATATTATGTAAATCTGCATTCACAATGTTGCCATTACTTCAGTTATGATTGATGTGTATAACTAAACAACCCATCAAGTATTATTTACATCTCCGAAAAATGCGTGTGCTGGATTATTTTATATCACTTTGACACGTGATAGAGTCATCTGGGAGGAGGGCCCCAACTGAAAAAGATGCCTCCATAAGATCAGGCTGTAGGCAGACCTGTAGAGCATTTTCTTAATTAGTGATTGATGCTGAAGGGCCTAGCCCATTGGGGGTGGGGTCATCTCTGGGCTGGTGGTCCTGGGTTCTACAAGAAAGCAGGCTGAGCAAGCCTGTAAGCAGCATTGTTCCATGGCCTCTACATCAGCTTAGAGCTTCTGCCCTGATTTCCTTCAGTGACAGAAAATTGCTTTTGGTGATGGTATTTCACCATAGCAATAATAACCCTAATTAAGACAATGTATATATTCAAGTTGGACAGAACAATTTTGGGAAAATTCCATCAAGATTGCTTCATGTATAAGACCACTAAAGACTTGAGACTACTTATCTTGGGTTATGCTAATGTTAAGGCATTGTTCATAATTTTTTTTGCTAAAAAAGACTTTTTGCTCCAAAACACTTTCCAGAAGTGCTGTCAGCCATGAGATTACAGCTATATAGCCAGAGCCCCAAGTTCTCTTCTCATCTTGGAAGAGAAAAAGATCCCACGTCCTTCATGCAAGGACAGACTGGAGGGCAGGACAAGCAGAAATCGCCCAAGAGAGAGTTAGCTTTCCTTTGGCAAGGGAGGGCCATTCAAGGGCAGCAGCTACAGGTTTCACTTTGAAAACCGCAGAGAACTAAGTGATGCTCCAGTCTGACTGTTTGAGAAGGTAAAGAAGCAACCGTGTGCCTGACTGGTAGCCCTGAGAATCAGTGTGTGGGCTGCAGCCTGTCTGAGAGCTGGATCCCACACTTTCAGTTGTGTGGGAGAATGTTATCCTAAGGTGTGTGACTTTTGTTTATGCTGCATCTGTTTAACTCAGAAAAGCTGTGATTGTTTGCCTGCCTGAAACACCTGATGGCCTAACAAAGAGCTGAACGGCCAATAGAGAGGCAGGAGCAAGGATAGGCGGGGCTGGCAGGCAGAGAGGATAAACAGGAGAACTGAGGAGGAGCAAAAAAGAACAAGGAGAGGAGGCCATCAGGGCCCAGCCACCCAGCTCCACAGCCATCCAGCGGAGTAAGAGGAAGGTGACAGAAGGGAACAGGAAAAGCCCAGAGGTGGAAGGTAGACGGGACAGTTACAGTTAAGAAAAGCTGCCTAGAAACAAGCTAAGTTAAGGTCCGACGCGTGCAACTAAGAGTAAGCCTCCGTGTGTGATTCATTTGGCAGCTGGGTGACAGCCCGCCAGAAGAGAAAACACGTCTTACTACAGTTTGCCGCGTTCCCAAACATCCGAGAGGTCCTGAAGAAGGATGAGGCGAACTATACTGATCTGCATGCATCAACATCATTCCTAGACTTCAGTGGGCGCACTCTGTCTCCGCCCCAGAAGAGGAATTCAGCTGCTCTAAGGTAAGGCCAGTGGATCTTTAAACGAAGCGTCACAGTTTAGAGCTGCAGGTCTTAGGAGGAAATAGATGCCAGGTTTGGTCTCTTCAGGGGTTTCCAGCACCAGAGTAGCAAGGTGGAATGGCTGAAAGGAAAATGAGTTTTGTACCTGGGTTTACATTTTTGTTACCTCCTAGGTATCGGGACCTTTAACAAGGCAATTAACCTGATTGCCCACACCCATTTTCGACTCGTGTATCTTTTCAAATACATGCGTGACATTAAGATGTTTCTAGTCTTCCTCCTTTTCCATATCAAATTCTTAAAAACTGGTTGGTTTTAATCCACTTGGACTCATCTATAGTGGACACCTTGGTTTTTTTTTCTGGAAAAATCTGTGGTTGTTGGGGAAATGGCTCAGTTGTTAGTTCTTGCCTTGCAAGCATGAAGTCCTGAGCTCGACTCCCCAGAGTCCTATAACGCATGGTTGTAACTGCTCAAAGGACGGAAGGTGAGTGTCTGGATTTGCTCGGCCTTAATGGGACATCTATATTGTACCTCTTCCCACAGGACGCGGAAAATTGCAGTGAATTGGTGGTTCTCAAGTTGTGGGCCGTGACCCCTTTGGGGGTCAAATGAACCTTTCACAGGGGAATCATGTATCCTCCTTACCAGATGTTTATGAATCATGACAGTAGCAAAATTACAGTTATGAAGTAGCAACAAAATGCTTTCATGGTTGGGGGTCACCATGACGTCAGGAACTGAATTAAAGGGTTGCAGCAACAGGAAGGTTAAGAGCCATTGCAGCAGAGGGAGGCAGAGATATTATGAGTTAAAGCTGGTGATGGTGGGGAAATACTGTGTCATGGACTCGGGAACTCACAGCAGCTGTGAAGGCCCGTGGTAGATTAAGCCCTAGCTGAGGCAGTCAGTTTTCTTCAGGTGTACAGCCCATGGTCCAGTGGTCGGTCCCATACCACGTGCATATGGGAAACAGTTAGTTAGACTCAGTGATGGTGTAAGTGTAAAGAGAGCATGAATATGAGCGGGAACTGTGGGGGGTCCTAAAGGAGTTGTACGGGGAGTGGAGTATGGATATAACAATACATTATGCATGTTTAAAGTATGCAAAGAACAAATTAAAATGTGTTTTTAAAATCTGGGCATGGGGGGCCAGGCGTTGGTGGCGCATGTCTTTAATCCCTGCACTCAGGAGGCCGAGGCAGAAGGATCTCTCTGAGTTCAAGGCCAGCCTGGTCTATAGAGCGTGTGCCAGGATAGGCTCTAAAGCTACACAGAGAAACCCTGTCTCGAAACAAACCCCCCCAAAATGGCAGGTGTTGGTGGCACAGAGGGCAAATTCCAGGACAGGTTCCAAAACAATACAGAGAAACCCTGTCTTGAAAAGCCAAAAAACAAACAAAAAATCTGGGCATGGGGGCTTGCCTGCAGTCCAGCACTGGGAAAGTGGAATCTGGTAGCTTCCTGGAGCTCACTGGCTAGTCGATGTAGCCTAGAGAATGCCTGAAGAATATTACCCAAGGTTGTCTTCCGGCCTTCATATGCATACGTATCCACATGCATGCACACCTGCACATACATGTACAAAAACACACACACACACACACACACACACATAATGACCAGGAATGGTTTTCTTGCTAACCATGTTGCACATTTAATTTTCTGGGTGTTCAAAGAGTTGTAATAGTCACCATTGCCTTGACATGGCCTGTGACAGATGGTACCCATTTAAGCTTCCAAGACAGACAATAATTCCTGGCAACCAACAGTGGAAAATATGCATGCAGCTCCAGGTGGATCACAGACCTCCCTCTTAAACAGGTACACATCTCTGACCTGCATGCTATCAGATTTCTGTGAGTTAATTTTGCTTTATACACTATAGAACCTGAAACGCTCTAACTTCCATGCTATATAGGTAATTTTGATAGGAGACTAATAACATTTCAAACAAGAAATTGAATCTGACTTTTAGTGAGGAGAAAGGGAGAGGGAAAAGAGGGACAGAAGAGGAGGAGAGTGAAAGGAGGAGAAGGGAGGGGTGAGGAGGAGGAGGAAGAGGAGGAAGAGGAGGAGGAGGGGGAGGAGGGGGAGGAGGAGGGAGAAGAAAGCCCAATAAATTGGACTAGAAAGAGAAAGCTGGAGAGGTCTTTAGGCAATTTATGCTAGTACTGTAGTCTGAAAAGTCAGTTGAATTAAACATCTAATCTGCATGTTTGCAGTTGGAAATGTTTCTATTGGCATTCGTGTCTTGGCAAATACTAATTTTCTCTCAATGGCAAGAATTCATCATCTGCAGCTCCAAGAAAAAGAACCAAACACATGTGACTGGAAATTCCTTCTTACTGGCATTCAACTCTAATCACCTACAAAATTGCATATCATCCAGAAACCATTATTTTGTCTTCAGATTTGACCTCTAGCCATTCATTTTCGTTTTCACTATGTTGAATCAAGAAAAAAAGGGATCTGGAGACAAAATTTTGTATTAACTTTTGCCAAAGTAATGTTTATTAGGAGACGCTTCTTTCTAGGCCTCTGGGTTTCTGTGTATTTCATGAGCAGAGGTACTGGCCTCTTTTATCCTGAATTATATATTTTCAAGGTTATGGATATAATAGCACCATGGAAGCTAGAGATGCTATCGCCACACATGCCAAAAGGTAGATTTATATATTGTTCAATAAAATAAAAATAACATGATTTAGTCCTTAAATGTCCTCTGATACTCCATTCCCCATTTGGCAACCAGCTCATGATACTCTGGAACGGTCTGTATATGAACACTTGGTCCCCAAGAGGTGGCGCTGTTGAGGAGCGGCCCTGGACTTCTTAGGCTATGGAGACTTGCTGGAGGAAGTAGTCACTAAGGGTGGGACTTTAGGGTTTATAATTTGATATCTCTGCTTCCTGTGAGTGTGGTTAAGACGCAATTGCTCGGTTTTCTCCTGCCACGGCACCTTCCCTGCCACTATGAGCAGCTCTCTCTCCAAACCATCAGCCCAAATGCACTTTCTTCCCTAAATTGCTACAGGTCACGGCATTTCATCACAGCAAGAGCTAACAAGGAAAGCTAGCACTTTTTGTTATTTTGTTCAAGTTTTGGCATCAAAATTTTAGTGACTTCATAAAACAATCTGGGATGTATTCCATTCTTCTCTCTGGGAAATTTTGTATGGACTTCAAATATTTAGAAGAATATATGAAGCCACATGTGACTAACATTTTCATCGAGGGAAATTCTAAATTTGTAGATTCCGGTTACTTAGCAGGTAGACTTTTACCAGTTTTACATTTACTTTTGCTCATTTCCACGATCCGTGTTTTCTAATTTCAAACATTAGTGATATATTGGTTTATGAAAAGCTTCACCTGGATTCTGTCACTCTCATTTGTGTCAAATGACATATTGTTGCCTCTCTCTGTTCTGTCTCTCCTGTCTTTTCCTTCTGTCTTCTTTAGATTTAATTTTTATTCTTTAAAAAAAAATTGAAGCATATGAGTCTTCATCAGAATGTATGGATGTACCATATGTGTGCAGAACTTTCAGAGGCCAGAAGAGGGCACCATGTTCCCTGGAGCTGGAGCTATAGGTGGTTGTGAGCAGGGCATGTGTGTGCTGGGAATTGAACCTGGGTCCTCTCGTGCTCTTAACTGCTGAGCCATCTGACCAGCCCTGCTCTGACTTCTTACCCTGTGCTCAGGTAGCTCAGGGTGAGAGTTTGCTTTTGTTTTTGTTTTAATCTATGCATTTAAGATTGTAAATTAAGCATGGCTATAATCCCATCCCAGAAGAGCTGGTAAGTCCCTTTTCATTGTAATTTACTTAGAAGTCTTTTATTGAAACCACTCTCCCTTGACACATGGGTTATTTAGAGTTAAACGTCTCCAATTTTCAGACGTAGAGGAATATTTCAGTCGGCTTTATCTTACTGGGAGCAGTCTTAATTGCAGTGTAGTCAAAGGATGCAGAACACTCTGTGTTATTAGGACTATTTACTTTGGCATGATTAACTTTATGGCCTATCACATCTTTTTGTAAATGTGTGTGTGTGTCTACAAAGGATGCTTACTGGGAAATTATACGTCCACAGCTTCCTACTTATCTATTTGACTAGCTATGTAATTGGTCTTTGCATGTATATTCTTTTTTTAATTTATTTTTCATTTTACATACAATCCCAGTTCTCCCTCACACCCTTTCCAGCCCCCATCCACCCCTCAGAGGCTGCAAGGCCCTCCTTGGGGAGTCAACAAAGTCTGGCATACCAAGTTGAGGCAGGGCCAAGTCTCTCCCGCCGGTGTCAAGGCTGAGCAAGGTTTCCCACCGTAGGGAATGGACTCCAAAAATCCTGGTCACTTTGCGTTCTACATGGCTGTTTGACAGGCTTTACAATTGGTCTTTGCATGAAATTTCATCAGGAACCCTTCTTTAGTGAGAGACAATTGTGTCAAATTGTCTCATTGGATACATTCTTTTGATTTGTTCAATTTTTGGTTTGTGTGTTTTGAAGTTATGCATAATTTGAATATCATAAAATATTTTTTGTTTCTAGCTGGGTATGACTGCCTCATAAACGCTACTGTCTTTTTTTTAATATTAACACACTAGCTTTTTTTTCAATTAGATTTTGTCTGGCTGTCAATGTTTTTATATTCTTATATTTTAACTGTCAGATTGTAAGCAGGCAATAATTGGGTTTTGTTTTCTAATCAGCACAGCTGTCTTTGTCTCTTTGGAGCCAGTTTAGCTAATGTAATTGCGTGTCTATGAGGTTAAAGATAGCATCTTACTATGGCTGAATTGACCGTTCTATGTATTTGCTTTGTAACGAATGCACTTGCTCCTTCTTTTGATTGGTTTGTGGGCAGCAGGCTGGAGTCTTCAGAAGGAAATGAAGTCGAGGCGAAGAATGAGATGCACAGAAATCATGTGGTCTGGGAAAGCCCTGACACAAAATAGTGAGATTATACATTTTTTAAAGATCCATGTTGTCAGTGACTTTTTAAAAAAATTCTCATAATTTTAATGGTCAGTAGCTCCCGGTTGGCTTCTGAATGGTGTAGTTACGCAATATACTTAAGAGACCCCCCACAGAAAGCTCACACCCCTCAGTAAGTAGCCTTGGCTCCATCCACATTCCATTGCCTGGTCAGACTTCCACAACCTGGGACCCTCTCCTGGGTTATAGAAAGAGATATCTTAGTGTAATCCCGGCATATCCATGATCTGATATTTTTGTTTAAAAATAGCAAGTATTAAACCAGACACTTTCCCAGGTGCTGCGGCCCCACGGAGAAAACCCACGGCGTTGCTGTAGGGATCCGAGTCCTGTGGGCCCTTGGTTCAGGTCCCCCTTCCTGCAGTTATACAGCGCAGCACTCATAACCCTCGTTTACACAGTACACCGGGGCAGCCTGGGCTACTGTGTTGTGCAGTCTCTTTCTGTGCAGGCCGTCCTTCCGAGCCAGCACCGCTGGTGTGGAGCTGAGCGTGTACAGAGGCAGGCGGGGCAGTTGATAGGCATCATGCTCCACCTGGAGCTTGCAGCAAGGGTCAAACTGCCAGGAGATCCCAGAGAGGGTACAGCAGGCCAGGCTCAGCACAGCAGCGGGCAGGGAGGTGTAGTGGGAGTAATCCAGGGACAGGGCCAGCCAATGCGGCCGTCTTGTGCGGGCGATTGGCCACGGTGATCAACCGCGCTGTCGCATCTCCAATTCGGGAGGGCTCTGTCACGATGTACTCGTACTGGGCTTCCAGCGCCTGCTCCAGCTCGTACTCAGACTGGTCCTGGGCATTCTCCCCACTGCAGATTTCATGCACTATGTAGCAGTCGGTGGCTGACAGGCTAACCCTCTCTCGGTAGCCACCATCTCCCGGACCCAGATGCCCCCTTCCCCATGTGACCATCCTCGAGACCCGTCTGACTTCTCAAAGAGCCATCGGGACATGGGAAGCACATGGCCACACATGGTTTCGACTTTTCAAGGAAAGAACGTGTGTTATTTTCCTTTTGACACGAGTGTCAGGGAAAATTCTGAAATTAATGTCTTAGAAAGAATGGTTTGTAAGGCAGTCTTCAGGAAAAAATAAATGGCGATTGCCAAGCCAGACTGTGTTCATTTGAAATGCTAAATAAAATTATCTACATTTTCTCTTTGTGAGAGGATCACTAGACCAGAGAAACAGAAGGTGGTAGATGAATAATTCTGGAATTCAACAAGCTGTTTGACATAACACTCACTGGATGGACGTGCCGGAGACACACGGGCTGGATGGCACCACAATTTCGTTCTTTTAAAGGTGGTTACCTAATAGTTGCTAAATCTGCCCACTCATTGTCCTGGTCCTCAGGTGGCTTGCCGCTTTAAGGAACATCATGGATAAATTTATAGAAGTAATGCTCTAAAACTGTGTGTGGTGAAGCTATAGGAGATGAAATATGTACTGGATGATGGAGTAGATTCAAAAGGATCTCTCCGGCCACTCATCCTGGAGGGGTAAAGTAGGGGGCTCGAATCCATTTTTTAAAGGGCAAAAAGAACTAAGGAGCTTGGGTTAGCAACAGTGTGTGAAGTGGGTTTAAATCCTTTACATCTGAGCTGAGTGCAAAGCCATATGACGCAGCCATCTGAGCAAGCTTCATCGCAGTTCTCCTCAGCACTTTATAAAAGCATCATATATATTAAACAGAGCATGGCACTGACCAAGGGTTTTTGGGACATCAGATTTATTACTTTCTGTAACCCCGTATTACCCACTGAAACGTAGAATGTCATCAGGAAGAGTAGAGACCTATAGCAATGAAGAACTCCAGGGGGATGAGTCCCAAAGTGAAGGAGCGTGCATGGGCAGCATCCTAGATGAGTGAGAGACGGTTTGGGTCTAAGGAGTACTGTCATCAGACAAGTTGGTGATGTAATCACCAAGCTCAGATTTACAGAGACACACAGAGACACACACACACAGAGACACACACACAGAGACACACACACACAGAGAGACACACACACACACAGAGACACACACACACAGAGACACACACACAGAGACACACACACAGAGACACACACACACAGAGACACACACACACAGAGACACACACACACAGAGACACACACACACAGAGACACACACACACAGAGACACACACACACACAGAGACACACACACACACAGAGACACACACACACAGAGACACACACACACAGAGAGACACACACACACACAGAGAGACACACACACACAGAGAGACACACACACACAGAGAGACACACACACACACACAGAGACACACACACACACAGAGACACACACACACACAGAGAGACACACACACACAGAGACACA